GTACTTAACTAGTACCAAATAATGTATAAAATTGTTTTGCTTTACAATTTTACATAAATAATATTTCAATTAGAATTTTTCTTTAAGGTAATGTTTTGGGACAATGCATGTTGATATTTATAGATGAAGTTCATGAACTTTGTTACATAGATAGCATATAATTTATTCCTCCTCTAATAAAAGATAGTTTCAAATTTTTTGCTAAATATAGTAATACAGGTTTAACAATTTATGCTCCAACCAGAATTGCTTAAAGTCAGTTTCTCTCTTTCTCCCTCTCTAAAAAATCAATAAAAGAAAAATCTTTGTCAGGATTTTATTTCAATCCCATTGAATTTAGAGAATATTTCATTTCCTCATAGTTTTCATAACCAAAATTGTCTACTGTAGTTTTGTACAAGTATTTTAGATTTACCCTGTATATTAAATAAATTGATAACATACTATTACTCTTTTGCGCCCCCCTCCTTTCTTCTGAATTCCATTCTCACCTTCCTATGTACACTCTTTGGAATTCTTTCAGTGAGGGTCTAGAAATGGTAAAGATTCTCTTTCTTTGTGTGAATGTGTCTTTATTTAGTTATCACCCTTTGTAGTGAACATTGTGAGGCACTACCCAGATCCCAATTAAAAAATGAGGGACTTATTCCCGGGCTGCTGGGAGTCGGCAAGCTGACAAAATGCAGTTGCCAGCCCTTTTCATAGTCTAGCCTAAGTAGTCTATCCACTTCCCGTATCAGCTCAGGTGTATAAAGGCTGAGCTCACTCCCTTAACTCTGAAGAGACATCCAGATTCACAGCCGAGGCCTTCACTGAGACTTCTTGCAAGCCAGCTCTTCCTTCTGTCCAATCCTGCTACCCTCCCTTTGCAGGTATTCCAAAGCACTCCCTAATAAACTCTCTGCACTCACCTCTGACTTGATAAGCTTCCAGAAAAGCTGATCCAAGATGCTAATGTCAGGGATGAGTGAAGAAAGGAGAAGCTAACATGGAATTTTTGACTTGAATCGTTGGCCAGTGGACTGTCAGTGAGACCTCCTCATTGGTGACAGATGTAGGACAGACCTTGGCAATAGGTAAAACTTCACTAGTAGTGAACTGGGATGTATTCTAATGGAAGGCGATACAGGCTTCCTCTGCTATGAAAGAAGAGCATTCCTATGAAACCTTTCATAAGCTGAAATGGCAGAAAGCAAAGAAGCAATTACCATTAAAGTATATGGAAAAATGTTTGCTCATTTCCAGACCCCCAAAATAACCTAACAGATTATACCAAATAACACATAAAACCAAAAATAACACTTAATTTTGTCAAGTTTTATGCCAAGCATAACACCCTTATGCATTCTCAGACTTTTCTGATACCTTAGGACACATCTTCCTACCAAAGCACAAAATAAGTCAAGATACAGCGCAGATGCTCACAGACACAGTTCCCAGCTATGGGGCTTGGTGGAGAGATGCTGAGTGTAATTCTCAGCGAGGGAGCTTGGCAGGGCCACTCTCTCAGCTCAGGTGAGAGTTGACTCAATAAGGGCTCCCTGCAAAACAAATGCTAAAGGCTATTTTTACTTTTTTTCGGTAAAAGCAAAAATCCTCTTTGGATTTCTTTTGGTTAGTAAAAGTGGGTACGAATGTAGGTCTTTTGTAAAAGCAAAATGGTGTAATGTGAACTTCTGAATAGTGAGGGCTACCTGTACACTAGAGTGGGTGTGATGCATTAGGCACTGAAGAAATATGAGGGAATAGTAATCTCAAAAACAGGGGAATTAGCAGTTGCTAAGCAAAATTGATTCTTTGCAAAAAGCAAAAAGCTGAGAACGGTTAATGGCTATTAAAAATATAAGAGTAAAATACAAAAGGCCTCTTTGGTATCAAATTAAGAAGCTTTTATCTCCTGCAGTGGGAGGGCAGAAAAGCCCAGCATTGCATCATCATAAGAGTGGCAGAGCTCCACTGGAGATTAACAACCATGCAGCCCAGTTAGGTTGGCCATACCAAGGTCAGAATGCTGGACTGGAAAGAAACCCTGATGCAATGAACACCTGAAATACATGAATCCCCAGATTTTCCTGAACCCTCTGAGTCGGAACATGGGCCATATTCCTGATAAATGACTAATGCTCTCCACTTGCTTGAAAACAATGAGCAGGCTTCCTTCTTGTAGTACAACCTGTGGTCCCTTCAGGATCTGCCCTCAGCTTTCCTCCTGACCACCGGGTCAATAACTTGGCTTTTTTTACAATGTAATTTTATTTTAATCAGTGGTAAGGGATGAGTGGCAATGAGGGAGAGGGCCTGATCCTTAGAAGATTAGGGAGATGGATAACAGAATATGGTGTCCCCAAGAGCATAATGGATGGGCACCAAACAAAGACACTGCTTAGTCTGTACAATCAAAAGAAATCAAGGAGTGCAAGACCAGGAGCTGAGAGCAATACTCCAATAATGAGTCACAATTCTTTGCCCAGTTTTTAAATCTGAGCCCCTTTTCAGATCTGGAAACCATCAACAGAGAAAAGGCTAGATCCCCAGGAGGAAGCCCTGGAATATGATAAAAGATGTACACTGTAATAATTCCCGCAGTCTTTCCCCAGAGGGATCTTTGCAATTACTCTGGCTAACCATATGTTGGGAAAATGAGAACATCAAAACGTTTCTCAATAGCATTGCATATATAAGAATTCACCTGCCTTCTATTAAGCTTTCCATTAAAGAGATTTGCAAAACTGAAAAAGAATAGCACTCTTCTATGTTTTTTGTTTGGGAAAATATAGTTATTTTTTCCATATAAATATGTTATGTATACTAACATGCAACCTATTTATGAGTATTATTTTTACTGAAGTGATAAATATTTAAAACTTTGTTTTAATATTTGTATGTGGTAACTATAGATAGACACAGCCCGCATAAACAAAAGCTTGTTAGAGTCTTCAATTTTTAAGAGTTTTTAAGGGGTTCTGGGACAAAAACAATTTAAGAACTGCTGCAATAGACAATACCACAAGCGAAACTATCTGTGTAATCTTGGAGCAAGTTGCAAAGTCTCTCTGCCTGTTTCCTCACGGGTAAAGTTAGGAGTTAATATTGCACATGTAAAATAAGATATCAGTAGCACGGAATGATATATATATAGCCATTATTGATATTACTATATTTTCTCTGTGAAATAGGAGGGATTAATACCTGTTGAAATTGATGGAGGAAGTGATGGATAGTTTAAGGAAAGAGAAGATTTGTTAAAGCCATGTGGAGAATGGAAAAGATAGCTCTGATTAGGAAAATGTAGTATGACTGAGGAACAATTTTGAGAGCCTTGTGGCAGTTGGTGACTTTGGATGTAGAGTAAAATGATAATTGTGTAATTCTGTTTTTCCTTAACAACACTCAGAAGTCCAGTAAAGGCAAGAAAAGGAAAGCTATTGGACTGGGAATGTTTCTGTCAGTTTGATCAGAAGAAAAATAAGGCATGTTGCAACTGATGTGAAAAATTGTGTTTTATAAAATGGGGGAGGGAAGGAAAGAAAGCAGAGAGATGATTGATAGAAGACACAAGGGTCAAGAGATTTGATATCTTCCTTAGGAGGGGCAGCAGAGCAAGAGAGTTGGTAAGACAGGAGGTTGGATGGGTGGTTTGACTTTGGGTGTCAGTGATGAGTGATCCACCTGATGACAAGCCCTGGAGCGCGGTCACGAGAGTGGGTGCCTGTAGTGGGGTGCAGGCGGTGGCTATGGGAGATGAAGAAATCAAGAACCCAAGAGAATGGGTCCTCCATTTGGATGTTAATGCAACTCTGGGTCATGGAAGAAGTTGGAAGTCAGGTTCCAAAGTTTTCCATCAACAAGCTGTGGGTAGAAAATAACAACAATGAAGGATAGGAAGCGGCATGGCTGCATAGGAACGAGGAATAATGATCTGAAGGAGGCCCTGGGAGCAAGGGGACCGACGCCACCTCCTCCCCGGAGAGGAAGTGTGGAGAAACGAGCACCCTTCCCTGCAGAGATGGTCAGGCAGCCTCCGCACGGGAGAGGCTGCCAGGTCTCGGCCGAGGGCAGGCAGCGCACCCCAGAGCCCCAGAATGCGGCAGGGTTTGTTCACAAAAGCATGGAATTCCAGGGGCCCCGTGGAGGCAGGAGGCACAGGCGTGTCACACAGACCTTCACCGGGCAACTAAAGGCACAGCTCGTGCAGCAGCCATCAAAAGTGGGACGTGAGGAATCAGCGGCGGAGGCTTTCCCAAAGAGTTAGGCCAGAGTTTTGTTGTTTGGGTCGACCGATACAGTACCAAGCTCGTGAGCTCATGCGCCTCTTCCTTTTAGATGTTCCCCTTTCCTTAAATTTCTCCTTTTCCGGAAAAATAAAATGGAGGGGGCCTGCCCCGCCCCTAAAGTTCTGTTTCCCCGCCGTTCCCTCTCCCCTCGGCCTCCGCCCTCCAGCCAGGTCCTCTCCGCAGGACGGCGAGCCCCCCGCCGCGCCCGAGCGGGGGGAACGGGGGAGGCGCGAACAGAAGTGGGCGGGCCCTTTCCTGGCGACGCGCTGCCGTCGGGACGCTGCTGACGTCAGAGGACATCCGGTCCGGCTCCGCGGCTCCGAAAGCGACCGTCCGCCTTTGCCTGGGTTTCTGTAGCCTCTAA